GCGCGGAAGGGGTCGGGTCAGGGGTACCTGACGGGGGTACCTGACGCTCACGCTCCCTGACGCGTGGAAGGGAGGATAGTAGCTCGCAGAGATGGTAGGAGCTGACGCGCGGATGGGGGGTACCTGACGCGTGGGAGGGGGGACGGTCCTGACACGCGGCGGGGCGAATAGCAGCTGACGACGGCACGGAAAGGATAGTGGACGTGCGGATCGGGGCACCTGACACGCGGAAGGGGGGATAGTAGTCGACGCAGAGCGTACCCTAACGCCGCGCGGAAGGGCTGACGCGGGGATCGGGATTGGAGGGTATTTGACCTCACGCTAGGGCGCACCCGCGGATGGGGATGGGGGGTGCCTGACAGAGGTGGGATAGTAGCTGGCGTGCGGCACTTGACGCGCGGACGGGGGGAGAGTAGCTGACGCGCGGATCGGGTCCTGACGCGCGGCTGGGCGAATAGCTGCTGACGCCGCGCGGAAGGGCTGACGTGCGGATCCGGAGTGGGTGGCGCCACGCTCAGACGCGCGGATGGGGGTGGGGGGTACCTGACGTGCGGAAGGGGTATAGTAGCTGACGCGCGGATGAGATGGGGGTTACCTGATGCGCGGAAGGAAAATAGTAGCTGACGAGCGGATGGGAGTAGGAGCGGAACTGACGCGCGGAAGCAACCTGACGCGCGGCAGGGCGAATAGCAGCTTCGAAAAAGGCTGACGCGCGGACCGGGAGTGGGGAGCGCCTGACGCATACCTGACGCGCGGAAGGAAAAATAGTAGCTGACGCGCGGATGGGGATGGGGGGTACCTGAGGGATAGTAGCTGACGCGCGGATGGGGGTGGGGGGTACCTGACGCGCGGAAGGAAAATAGTAGCTGACGCGCGGATGAGGATGGGGGTGCGGAAGGAAAATAGTAGCTGACGAGCGGATGGACGTAGGGGTGGAACTGACGCGCGCAACAGGGGAGGTACCTGACGCGCGGCAGGGCGAATAGCAGCTTCCAAAAAGGCTGACGCGCGGACCGGGAGTGGGGAGCGCATGACGCATACCTGACGCGCGGAAGGGAGGATAGTAGCTGTAGCTGACGCGCGGATGGGGGTGGGGCACGCTGGTTGACTGCTCTGTCCCCAAGGCCTGGCAGATTGCATGTGTTCACTGTGTTTTGACGAACCTGCATTGCAGGTGCTCATCGCAGTGGCCAGGCTCTCATCAAAGTTGCAGTTAGCCACGCATGTGACACGCGGAAGGGGGGATAGTAGCCGACGTGCGGAGGGTACCCTGACGCCGTGCGGAAGGGCTGACGCGGGGATCGGGATTGGAGGGTACCTGACGCGCGGAAGAGGGGATAATTAGTAGATCGGGTCAGGCGGTACCTGACGCGCGGAAGCGGGGATAGTAGATCGGGTCAGGCGGTACCTGACACGCGGCCGTGCGGAAGGGCTGACGAAGGTGGGATAGTAGCTGACGTGCGGATCGGCGCCTGACGCGCGGAAGGGGGGAGAGTAGCTGACGCGCGGATCGAGTCCTGACGCGCGGCAGGGCGAATAGCAGCTGATGCCGCGCGGAAGGGCTGACGCGCGGATCGGGATTGGGGGGCTGCCACGCTCACGCTAGGGCGCACCTGACGCGCGGATACCTGACGCACGGAAGGGAGGATAGTAGGTCACGCGTGGATGGGGATGGGGGTACCTGACGCGCGCAAGGGGGATAGTAGCTGACGCGCGGATGGGGATGGGGGGGGGTACCTGGAAGAGGGGATAGTAGATCGGGTCAGCAGCTGACGTGCGAATCCAGGGGGACGTGGGCGAATAGCAGCTGACGCCGCGCGGAAGGGCTGACGCGCGGATCGGGATTGGGGGGGTACCTGACGCTCGCCCTAGGGCGCATTTGACGCGCGGACACCTGACGCGCGTAGCTCACGCGCGGATAGTGGCGGAATGGGGGGTACCTGACGCGCGGAAGAGGGGATAGTAGAGTGGTCAGGCGGTACCTGACACGCGGCAGGGCGAATAGCAGCTGACGACGAGGGCTGACTGGGATAGTAGCTGACGTGCGGATCGGGCCTGAGGCGCGAAAGGGGTCGGGTCAGGGGTACCTGACGGGGGTACCTGACGCTCACGCTCCCTGACGCGTGGAAGGGAGGATAGTAGCTCGCAGAGATGGTAGGAGCTGACGCGCGGATGGGGGGTACCTGATGCGTGGGAGGGGGGACGGTGGATCGGGTCAGGCGGTACCTGACACGCGGCGGGGCGAATAGCAGCTGACGACGGCACAGGACACGCGGAAGGGGGGATAGTAGTCGACGCGGAGGGTACCCTAACGCCGCGCGGAAGGGCTGACGCGGGGATCGGGATTGGAGGGTACCCGACCTCACGCTTGGGCGCACCCGCGGATGGGGATGGGGGGTGCCTGACGCGCGGAAGAGGGGATAGTAGATCGGGTCAGGCGATACCTGACACACGGCAAGGCGAATAGAGAAGCTGACGACGTGCGGAAGGGCTGACGAAGGTGGGATAGTAGCTGGCGTGCGGCACTTGACGCGCGGACGGGGGGAGTAGCTGACGCGCGGATCGGGTCCTGACGCGCGGCTGGGCGAATAGCTGCTGACGCCGCACGGAAGGGCTGACGCGCGGATCGGGAGTGGGTGGCGCCACGCTCACGCTAGGGCGCACCTGACGCGCGGACACCTGATGCGCGGAAGGGAGGATAGTAGCTGACGCGCGGCCTGACGCGCGGAAGGGGTATAGTAGCTGACGCGCGGATGAGATGGGGGTTACCTGATGGAAGGAAAATAGTAGCTGACGAGCGGATGGGAGTAGGAGCGGAACTGACGCGCGGAAGCAACCTGACGCGCGGCAGGGCGAATAGCAGCTTCGAAAAAGGCTGACGCGCGGACCGGGAGTGGGGAGCGCCTGACGCATACCTGACGCGCGGAAGGGAGGATAGTAGCTGACGCGCGGATGGGGATGGGGGGTACCTGACGCGCGGAAGGGGGATAGTAGCTGACGCGCGGATGGGGGTGGGGGGTACCTGACGCGCGGAAGGAAAATAGTAGCTGACGCGCGGATGAGGATGGGGGTTACCTGACGCGCGGAAGGAAAATCGTATGACGAGCGGATGGACGTAGGGGTTTGAAAAAGGCTGACGCGCGTACCGGGAGTGGGGAGCGCATGACGCATACCTGACGCGCGGAAGGGAGGATAGTAGCTGACGCGCGGATGGGGATGGGGGGTACCTGACAGGGGGGTAGTAGCTGACGCGCGGAGGGGCGGAACTGACGCGCGGAAGAGGGGAGGTACCTAACGCGCGGCAGGGCGAATAGCTGCTTCGAAAAAGGCTGACGCGCGGACCGGGAGTGCTGACGCGCGGAAGGGAGGATAGTAGCTGACGCGCGGATGGGGATGGGGGGTACCTGACGGTGGGGGGTACCTGACGCACGGAAGGAAAATAGTAGCTGACGCGCGGATGAGGATGGGGGTTACCTGATGCGCGGAATCCTCGGAAGGAAAATAGTAGCTGACGAGCGGATGGGAGTAGGGGTGGAACTGACGCGCGCAAGAGGGGAGGTACCTGACGCGCGGCAGGGCGAATAGCAGCTTCGAAAAAGGCTGACGCGCGGACCGGGAGTGGGGAGCGCCTGACGCATACCTGACGCGCGGAAGGGAGGATAGTAGCTGACGCGCGGATGGGGATGGGGGGTAGCTGACGCGCGGAAGGGGGATAGTAGCTGACGCGCGGATGGGGATGGGGGTACCTGACGCGCAGAAGGGGGATAGTAGCTGACGCGCGGATGGGGATGGGGGGTACCTGACGCGCGGAAGGAAAATAGTAGCTGACGCGCGGGCTGGGGTACCTAATGCTCGAAATCGTCCTGCATGGAATTCAGTTGTGCTTCGGTCAAATAGTCAATCTCTGACTTGCGGAACTGCTGCTGGATGTCAGTCTTGCCCCACCCAAGTACAAATGTCATCATACAGTCCGGAAATGTTCTGTCATACCCTGATCCTGGAAGCCATGGAACCAGTACTCGTACGGCAATCAGGGATGCAAGCACTACAGCGACTCAACCTGGAGAGCTTACGATTACGGCAGCGTGTCAGACATGCACCTATCATTGGTACAACAGGAAGTGACAAGCTATTGCGACTGCCAACTTTGGCAACCATCCAGACCTCCTTTGGTCTTTATGATTCGCCAGGGCGAAGATTCCAGAAGCTCGATTGCGAGAGTTCACACGACAAAGTCACAACGAGTCACCAACTGATCCTCCTTGACGACAAGACTATTTTCAGTGTTCACATCGATCCCGCATGTACAAAGCGTTTTGCACCATCTTTTGATACAGCTAGGTATCTCGCATCAAGTGTGCAAACCGTTTTTCAGCTGTCACCAAGACTTTTCATCCAAGCAGCAAAAAGGATGAATCCAGCATTTCATTGGCTACGGCAGAAAGCCAAGGCTACGGCCAAAGGCCAAGAAGCCAAGCGTTACACAGTAATTCAGTGCTGGGGATCAAAAGAAAATTCTGCCTGACGCAACATTTGGCTCAAGGCCCATTTTGTCATATTCTGTACGGAGACTATCCGTTCTCTTGCACTCCATATTGGCATATATTGGATTTCCTGCGGAATAGATCCAGGGACCACATATGCGATCCTCTACTACCACAAGGTATTGGTTCCCTACTGGGATAAGATACCCCCGGCAGTGGGACTCAGGGGGGGGTTCAACGTGACGCAAAGGATGGTACAGAAAACAGTGGGAGGAGCGTGTTTAAGACGAGGACCTGACAATTCATATCAATGCCCGGGCGTCTCGTGCCTTTTTGGGGCTAAGAGAGACACAGAGAGAGAGAGAGAGAGAGAGAGAGAGAGAGAGAGAGAGAGAGAGAGAGAGAGAGAGAGAGAGATGAAGAGAGAGAGAGAGAGAGAGAGAGAACAAAGAAAAGAGAGAGAGGCTCTTGGCGTGCGGCCCCCGAGGCAACCAGTGGCTTCGGCCAGCTCCCAGCCTCGAGGGCTACGCCTGCTGGACCTCCCACAGTCCAACCGCCGCGAACGCTCCCAGTTGGCTTGACGACGTGAAGCGCTTTAAACGGAGAATTGCTCCTGTCCTAAAAAATCCCCGATTTTACCGTCGAAGAAAAGAGAAAAGCAGAAAGGTGACCCACAAGAGCAGCTGGCTGGTTTAACTCAGCTGAGAATTTCGGGACTTGAGACGAGAGGCTTTTCGACCCCATGACACCTGACGATCAACGCCGAACTCGAACTGCCCCAAAAAGCGATCCCATCCCGAAAGTCTATCACTTCACAAGGTTTGTCAAAGAAGGCTGGATCTTTTGATCTGTTTTGATTTTCACAAAGTTCTTTGGTAGAGCGTATGATTCACAAGTTGTTTGCTTTTTGGGTTCCCCTTGTCACAGCACCCTTTGTGGAGTGGCTTGAAGGGGAAACGAGATGAAAACCACCCAGTCTGGAGAGTCCCGCATGTAAGACACATCCGCATGTACAAACAACTTGGCCTTACCCTCCCAGCGCCCGCGGAAATGCCTCGCCTCATTCGAAGAGGCCGGCACGGCGCGCGCTCGCTGGGCCGCTCGCTGGGCCGCTCGCTGGGCCGCTCGCTGGGCCGCTCGCTGGGCCGCTCTCTGGGCCGCTCGCTGGGCCGCTCGCTGGGCCGCTCTCTGGGCCGCTCTCTGGGCCGCTCGCTGGGCCGCTCGCTGGGCCGTTCGCTTGGCCGATCGCTCCAGTCGCGGCTGTGGCGATTGCGATCCTCGCAAACCACCCGCTCGCCACGAGTGTGGCTTTGGTACTCCTCACTGATGTGACCTGGCTTGGCACAGATTGAAAGACATTGCAAAAATTACACATGTCATTTCATGGGCTATGGAAACTGCAACAACACACAAATATGCACTGTGTTTGCGTCTGTGTCTGTGTCTGTGTCTGTCTGTCTGCCTGCCTGCCTGCCTGTCTGTCTGTCTGTGTCTGTGTCTGTGTCTCTGTCTCTGTCTCTGTCGGTGTCTCTGTCTCTGTCTCTGTGTCTGTCTGTCTGTCTGTCCGTCTGTCTGTCTGTCTGTCTGTCTGTCCGTCTGTCCGTCTGTTCGTTTGTCCGTCTGTCCGTCTGTCTCTGTGTTTGTGTCTGTGTCTGTGTCTGTGTCTGTGTCTGTGTCTGTGTCTGTGTCTGTGTCTGTCTGTGTCTGTCTGTGTCTGCCCGTGTCTGTCTGTGTCTGTCTGTGTCTGTCTGTGTCTGTCTGTGTCTGTCTGTGTCTGTCTGTGTCTGTCTGTGTCTGTCTGTGTCCGTCTGCGTCTGTCTGTGTCTGTCTGTCTCTCTATCTGTCTGTCTGTCTGTCTCTCTGTCTGTCTGTCTGCCTGCCTGCCTGCCTGCCTGCCTGCCTGCCTGCCTGCCTGCCTCTGTCTGTCTGTCTGTGTCTGTCTGTCTGCCTGTCTCTGTCTGGCTCCCTCTAAAGAACGACGTGCCATGCATATAGTCCAGTCCTTGATTTCTTTGTCGCCAACGGCTTTTGTTACTTGCCACCAACACCTTTGAAGCGGCGAGCACCACGGTTGTCGGAGGAGGCTGGGATTTTGGGGGGTTTGATTGGCACGAACTCCATGGATTGTCTCGACGAATATGAGGTAATGTTAACCCGGATTAATAATATTGGCTGATTAATAGGGGGTGTCCTCTTTTAGTGGGGATTCATCACTTTTGGAAGGAACACCCCCCGAATTATGGGACGGGTTTATTAATCCTGGGTCAACATTATTCTTCTTCCACTTTGATCCGGATGGATCCCAAAGCCGAGCTCCCTGTATTCCCCTCAGATACAAAAACACGTAGATTCAATCGTACATGTAGAAGAAGAAAAAAAAACGTACACGTAGATTCAAACGTACATGTAGAGGTAGACGCACACGTAGAGGTAAAAGCACATTCACAGAATGCACATCAGCAGCTCTCCCTCTTGTTCTCCAACTACCCAAAAATATTGCAGGTGATTAACATGGCTTTGTCGGGTTCAGACGGCTAAGCTGCTCACCCAATCAGGCAGGTTGTTTGAGGAGGGAACATGGTGATACCCTCAATTCCCAGTGCAACAAAAACAAACGATCGACTGCTCCATCTTGCGCTGGGACACGACGCGGTCAAACCATGTGATTGTCTCCAAATGGGGGAACCTCCCAGCTCCCTTTGTCAACCTGACCTCAACATGAGCAACCACAAGAAAAGACACACCAAATTGCACCAACGATTTTCCCCGCGGGATCCCAAACACCTTCCACAGCATTTCTCACTGGCGGGTCCACCTGGCGGCATCGGCTGCTCGTCCATGAGCTTGCGGTACCAGTAGGGCACCGCCTCCTGGTCACAGAAGGTGCCAAAAAACATCCTTTCCCGAAAGAAGTTTGTATTTGGACTTTTGGCACGTTCAAAGGACGACTCATTCCAAAGACCTTTGGATCGACAACCGTCTGTATCAGGTAGTTGGTAAATCAAGCAAGCGTTGTTCCACACAAATCGCGCATGTTCCATCGCGCCACAAGCCCCTCGACGAAGCCTCGCAAGCTGGCCTGGGAGATTCGACTCTTGAGCCTGGTGGGAGGATCCTCACACCGCGAGGCAAAACTTCTTGGAGGCTACTCTTGCGGTAAACCAGAGAAGAAACGCTGTTCACCTATTTGGAAAGCTGTGGTTTCACCCAAACCAGTGGGTTTTAAAAGGTCTTTTAAAGGGTCCGGTCAAATGACAACATTGGGAGCCCTGTGCGGGATTCAATTGGTGAGCTCGGCTTGGGGAAGTTTTGGGCAAGTGTAATGCGAAATCCATCAACTTCATGCCCTGGGCCCGTCTTGCCACGTGATGTGGAAGCTCCCCTGTCCCCGAACACGCCTTGGTCAGTCCGGGCATGTCGGCCAGCGCCCCTGCGCATGTTGAGTCTCGGCTAAAGTCTCCATTGCAAGCCTAAAATTGTCAGACACATATAGAAGGGCTCATTCCCTTTAGTTATTGGTCAGTCAGCAAATAAATGACATGTTTGCCCAAAAGCCGACACTCCGGGCATGGGCTGGAAGCAGCAGAAGACTGTATTATAGCACAGCCATCTTGTCTTATTGCTCCAACCAAGCCCGCTGCAAGAAAAGCGACGGGCGGTGACTGCGTGGTCCTAGGAGATGCCGTGCCACCTGAGTCCTTTCAATCGCGGGGGTCGCCAACCTACGTGAGTGGTGCGTAAGAAGCATAGGGAAATGTCATTGTCTGCACGCACGGAAAGGAGATAATTCACAAGAACTATCGTGGAAATGAATGACTGGAGTTAAACAAAAACAATGTTGGAGCTGCTTCCGGCTGTTTATCCCAACTTGCATGGAGCGTCATTTGCTGTGCTCAAAGTTCAAACCAAAGGTCACTCACGCAGCCTCAGAGAGGGCTGGGAGCTTCGCAGCGTGAGGCTTGGACACTGAGGGAATTTTGTGGGCTTCGCTTGCCGCCTGTCCGTGGCCAAGAGAGATTTAAAGAATCCCTTTCCAATTGTCACAGGGGTGGGAATCGGAGAAGCATTTTTCTTGCCCCCTTTACCAAAAGCGCGACACTGCGTGACCAGCACGTGCTGAAGACGTTCAAGTGGGTTTCGTCGTCCCGGACGTCATGTGGGTGCGGGAGGTCCCCTCAAGGCCAGAACTCTCACTTTGGTCTTTGAGCCTCAACCGAACCCATTTCGGGTTTCCTGGCTTCATAGGCAAGCTCAAGGATTTTCGGTTGCTTTCTGCTCCCCTGCTAAAAGTTTAACCTTTAGCGGTTTGATGGAAAACCCGCTAGTTGGCAACATGTTAAAGTCCTACCAGCCAAGCAAAATGCAACAAAGGATTGTCTCCCGTTTCTTCTGTGTCCATAGAGCAACACTGAGCCTTGGCGCCCCGCCTCGGCTGCTTTGCGCCCGGGCGTAGCCATATCCCCTGCCACGCCCTGAGCGCGCACGTTTCGGTGCGTGTTTTTTCTGTCGTCTATTTCCCTCCCAACCCCAAAAAAGGGGTGAGAAAGGGCACTGGGGGACCTAGCCAAGGAAGGCGCTCTCCCTCCCTCCCACTAGGCAACTTGAGCCAACGACCCCAAAGCGAAAACACCACCCAAACGCCTCGCGTGTTGGGCGGCTTCTTCTTGGGAGGCTTCGACGGCTTCTGCAGAGCTTTGGCCGGCGCCTGCGGATGTCACAGCGCTCTAATCAAATGATGATCAATATTCTTACGTTCATTCACTTCTGTTGAACAATTGAACTGATATAAGTATACATATCCCACACGTCTAGTTGAATTTGAAGGCTTTATAATCTGTGTATCCAAATTGTAGTTTATCTCTGTTTTAACTGCATCACAGTCTTGAGCGCCTTTCTTTTAAATTTGTGCTCTAGCGCCCTCCAAAACCCTCCGGCGCTCTGAGTGAGCTGGTTTACAATAAAGTAACAAAAGCTGGTCGCACACACACACACACAGGATGTGGTCACGGCCAAAGCATGGTTTACAGGCTGGCAACTGGCAAGGGGTATGTCGGGTAAAGGCCGCCCCTCACCATCATTGTGTTGCGGTTCATAGGGTCGTGGCGTTTATGGGAAACACCCCGCCCCCCCCCCAGACTGACATCCTGACAAGACACCCCCAAAAACACAAAGCATGGCAGGTCCCATTTCTGGTGTCCTGGCTCCAAGAAAAGCGCGAACCAAAAACCCCGTGCCGTTCGTTATGTGCATATATATATATATACATTTTTTCCAGGGGTGCCAATCCAGCCACTGACCCTCATAGATGAATGGCACATCCACTTCCCCCACAAAAAAATGATCTATGCCGGGCTCCGTCCGCTTGCCCCGACCTCCGTGATCTCGGCAAAGGTCTCCTGACCGCTTCGTTGCGGCAACCCCCAGCTTCGCAGCCCGGCGCCGCCCGGCTTACGATTGCCACCCCAAAGCCTGTCAGGGCTTCAGCGAAATGAACAGCCTGCACTCGGGAGGTTCAATGATTCAAGTCACGTTGCTTGATCCAACTCAAGTGAAGACGCGGTATGAAAAGACTGAATTGCTTTGGACATCATTTTCCATGGCTTCCTCAAGGTGCCCTGAATATCGAACAATAGCCATGATGAGCGCTGTTGCTTGGTCTACCACACCCATGGCCTGCTCTGGTGCTCCAACCAATCCGTGCTCTGGTGCTTGACTTTCGCAGAGTGCTTGAGAATGGAATGACTCATCTCTGCCGCTCCAAAACAACAGCTTGAATCTGGTAGGAACATATTGACCAACACATGAGCTAGCTTCGGTGGCCCTGTAAACATCCCCGCCATCACTCGATATCACGCAATGGAAAGTGTGGAAGTTCACCCGCCGACGACCATGGCGTTTGTGGAAAGCATCATGACGCTCGAAGAAAGCGAACAACATCTGGATGTGTTTTATTTTTCCCTGATTACCCCTGCTGACGTGGTTTTAACAGGGGAACCACCACTTTTGGGATCCTCCTAGTTTGACCCACACACACACACAAAATATATATATATATATATGTGTGTATACATAGATTTGTGTATATATATATACATATATATATATATGTATACGTGTATACATATATACATATATAATTATATATATGTATGTATATATATCTATACATATATATATATATATGATATATATATATATATGTGTGTGTGTATAGGTATATAGATATATACATATATATATATATGTGTATCTATGTATACATATGTGCATATGTGCATATATATGTATGTATGTATGTATATACGATATATATATATATATATATCACACATATACACCCATCTCTTGTTGCTCTGCCACTGCTTAACCCCCCCCTTCCAACTTCCCATCTCCTCCACTGCATCGGCGATAACCTCAAGTTCTCGGAGCCCTCTCCCATCTGACTTCCGACTTCCCACGGCGCCGGCGCGATCTCTGCTGGGGGGGGTTCTGTGTGTTGCTTGAAGGGGGAGTCCCAAGGAAACCGGAGGGAGGCTCCGGGGGGGGGGGGGGGCTCACGGGGTTGCCCTATTTTGTGGGAATCTCACAAAATCAAAAAAAAATGCCCCAATTTTTCTGGTTGGGCTCCCCTATTTTGAGGTGCCTTTGACAACCAGCGCCGCTTCTCCCTTCGCACTTCTCACTTTCGAGAAGGTTCCTTTCGTGTGCCATGGCCCCACAGCGCTGAGCCCGGGGCATTCCAATCCTCCGGGACAACATCTTTGCCAACCTTCCGTCGGCCGCCGACTATTGCTCCTTGAAAACAAAGAAAAATAAAGCACCGAGGCCTATGAAAGAAAGAGGCTAAAGCCAAGATTCACCCAACTGGGTGTGTCCCAAATCAAAGATGCACCGTGCTTTTAAATGCAAGACAAGAGGCATGTGGAGGGGGCTCCCTAGAGAACAATTGAACTCTAGGATATTGTGTTTGGACTTTCGGCCCTGAAAAGGATGGCCCACCCTAGATCACTGCAGGACCAGTGCGCAAGCAGGATCCGATTCTTGCCTCAATTCATGAGCGAGCTGGAGTGGTAGGCACACGTGGGTTCTCTCCCGACAGCCTTACCAAAGGAAAGCCCCAAACAACTATTGCCACGTTTGGTCCAATCACTACATCTTCGAAGGTGAAGTGAGTTGGCTTCAACTTACATCTTCGCTCCCACAAGGTCGACAAAACTGGAATCCGACGCGAAAATCTGCACACACCGCTTGGTCGCGCGAAACATGCGAGCGCACTTGCTCCAAAAGGCCGTGAAAAAAGCCAGAAAAGCCTTTCTTGACACACAAGGCTGGCATAGTTCCCTATGCCTATACCCTCTTTGGCTTACATGGCCTTGCCAATTTCTGGCTGACCCGCCCCCCAACGGCCTGAGGTGGTATCACCCTCGGTCGGCAAAGGACCTCAGACGTTACGTTAAGCCGATGGAGTGAAACCAAATGAGGTCTGTTCACCCCCGAAACAAGCCTCCAAACAAAATAAAACTATATTCGGCTTGCGCTGGAAAGCTCGTACAATTGGGGGTCTAACAAACAGCTGGGCAGTGTTGATCCTCTCAAGGTCGTCTCATCTGCTCACACGATCATAGGATATGAAATGGCTCAGAAGGTAACAGAAAACACCTATCGACCCACCCCGACTGTTTTCCTTTGTCTCATTTCGAATGTACCCCGCGCAAGATTCTCGCCGCGCAAACCTGCAGCCGCTCTCTCACCTTCCCATTTGGATCTCGGAAGCTTGATGCCACTGAAAGGCTGCCCTCCTTTCGGGGAAGTCACAAACAGTCGGTACACCCAGGTCATCCCAGCTACGTGCTCCGACCAGGCACCCATTTACATGAATGTGGCAGGTATGTCCGTATCAATGTGAAGGTATGTAAGCTATGGTTGGTGTGTTTTCGGTGTGTGAATGCGTGTATATGTATGTATATATATATATATACAAATACCGATTGTGTTCATGTGAGCATCAGCTGAACTAGCAATGTTGACCCACAAAAAGGAAAACGATGTTGGGCTTTCCTTTGGGCTTTCCTTCAAACCAAGATGAAAACGGTGACGCACGCCCAGATCCTGCTCAGGAGCAAAAAGCAGAGGTCTTCAAGCAAAGCTGGGTGCACAAAACCGAGCCTTGGCTGACTGTTTCTGGACAGCCTTTCACTTTACATACTCAATGCAGGAACCCCATAAAATGAACCTCTTTTCTAAGGTCCTGGTATGGACCGGTGGGACTGATCGTGGAAAGCTGGCCGCCTTTAAGCTGCAAATGAGGGGCTCATTTCAATTCTTGGGCTCCTACATTGTCTGGGCAAATTACTATATACAATTCCCAAACTGGTGTTAAGGGAAGATACATTCGAAATGATCTGTGCTATTTTTGGAGACATGCATATTCTTGCTGTCCTATGGAAAGATCATCTTCGCGCAAAGAGGAACCCTATGGAAACCAATCAATTCTAAAAGGTCGTTGGATGTGCCTTGAAATGAAACCACCCCCCCCCCCCCCCAAAAAAGGGGGCACCGCTAAAACTGGCAAAACCGTCGTGTTGAAAGCCACATTGTGGGTGTGTGTCTGTGTTACTACATTTGATTACGGAAGGTGGTGCGTCTCCCATGTGGGACTCCCATCTGAACCCCAAACAAGTCGCCGTTTGACGCGCACCAGCGTATCGCTTTGGCGCCGGCGTTGCGGAAGGTCTCCTGCGCCTCCCTCTTGGAGATGCTCAGCTCACCTTCGACAAATCCAGGAACATCCTTTGAGCATGTGTGTGTGTTTTGTTTTTTTTGTTTAAATCAATTTAACTAATCCTACCACCATACAAACAGAATGCTTCCTTGTAATAATTTAAGGAACCGTTCCTCATTTTGGTTACTTCGATATATGTACTTGTAGTATTTGTTTGAGAGGATGCTAGTTGTATCTACTGGAAGCAGTTTTGGGGGTTGGGAACCAAAAGGAAAAGATCAAAAGTTGGTCTTGCCCCTTGAACCAGGCGCTTACCCTTCAGACATGAAGACAGGGCGGTTTTAGAATATCTCTTGAAAAGGCCCCTCCGCTTCCGTGTAAGGTCGTGTCCTAAGGACAAGATTCCACTAGAACATGATTACCTCACTGAAGTTTGTGTATGTTCAATCCAATTGACGCAAGGGGACACCTATGGCCGGAAACCCCGGATAACAATATAGATGCCCCAGCCAAGTCTGATAAGAGGTAAGCACTCTCTTGTGGTTGAGGAACCAATTGGAAAAATGGACAAACAGGTACCCTGTGTTCAAACAATTGCTTTGAGCGTGGGTATGGCACACACACACACACACGCACCGCCCCCCGGTGGTTCTTGAGAAGACACCAAAAGAATGCCAACCGCTTGAAAGGGTTCCCATATTCAACACATTTCCGTACTCCGACAAAAAGGATTCCTCCCGAACAAACATTGCAAGCCCCGCAAAAGAAGGCGAGATTGACACGAATATCCGGGTCGAAAGCAGTTCTTTCCGTGCGACTGGAAAGTGAAGGAAAATCCGTCAAAGAGCCTGGGCGGATCGATTCGGCCCATCTGGAGCCCTTGTTTCTCGGGGCGGGACTGGACGCCGTCTGCCAGCCTCGGCCCGGAATCCGCGACCACAGTTTGGGGGTAAAAGTAAACAGGTTGCACCCCCTCGGCTTTCTGAAAAGTGGGAAGTCTGCTTGTTGCTTGTGAACAGACAATCGACATCAAGCTGCAGGGAGAAACCGCGCAGGATCCATGACGCGCCCAGCACAAGCCAAACGTGCTCACAACATGGGCCAAGGCTGACATATGGTGAGATAATCACCATGCACCATGTTGCTTTCCTCAAACAACAACTCATAGCCATATTCTAAACGAAGTGCCGTTTCTTCAGTCAAACATGGTCGTCGTTGATGACCGCCCTTTACCGGGCCGAAACCAATCTCAAGTTCGCCGCAGGCCCGCCCTTCAGTTTTCGCCTGGGGCCAGCGCTGTCAGCGGACTGGTATAGTCGCCACAAGGTATCGGAGATCCAGGCCTGCAGTGGCTGGTCGAAAAAACCGACGACCCGCATCCGCACGGCGGGACACATTTGAGGAGCTTCCATCTGTAATCGGCTGAGGCGCAACAGCTTGTTCCTTTTGGCATATGGCACCTGGCTGCCTGGTCTCCCCTGAACCTTAGTTTCAGTCATGGGCCACATCGGCCACAAAAGCATGGAAACAAACCAGTGAAGCCAACGGATGGAACCTGGAATGTAATTGGCGGAGCGCTGTTCTCGCCAAAAGCACCTACTTAAGAGGAAAACATGATGTTCTCAGCTCAAAACTTTGCGCTGCATCAACGAGGAAAAGGACTGCCGATGTTGAGTGACTAAGCCCACAAAGCGCCACGTTCCACGCCATCAAGGCGCCGCGCTCGAGCAAAGCGATCCTGGCGATCCTGAAGCCATGGCAAAAACTCAGGGAAATGATGAATGTTGTGGAAATGCCGCAGGAATTCTCAACCCATGAAGAAGCAACGCCGCGCTGCCTAGGCAACGCGAAGTCCTTTCCATTTGCGCCACATCAAGCCAAGCAACACTCTCTCAAAAACAAATCGGCTGCGTGAAGGCAGCATCGCCTCCACCGTTCAGTAGCAACCGTGACCAGGCCCCTCCCGTCAACTCCTGCGGCGCCATCCACTCAACCTGGCGCCGCAACACGCGAGGGTGTTCCAACATCAACATCCTGCTTGCTGGGCTGTCCGTTGGGGGAGCGCGAGAAGCCCTGGCAGGTCGATTCTTCTTCCAACCGCGCCAAAATTCTGACAGCCGGCACAAGAAAGCTAGCTGCGCGCTGCGAAACTGCGTGTAGGCGCAGCTTAGCGGCACGCGCTGCGCCACACGACCACTTTGAAACAAAGGCAGGCCCCCAGGCTGGGTCTGGCTTGCAGGGTCAATGGTCAGATTTCGGCCGCAGCGCGAGCTCACGCGAAAATGCTGCCAAATGGAAAGCAAAGCGGCCCGAGCACAGGCAATGCAGAATGGCTGGCACCTAAATTAGCTTCCTCCTTTCTGGTTTTGGAATCGCAGCCGCCAGAACAAAGCTCACAAATGACAGAACAGGCGGCACTGAACAATAGGATGGGGGAACCGAAAGCACAATCCGAGCACCGTCTTGTTGTCTCTAAGAAAGTCCAAACGAACCATCCCTCACGAGCCGAACTCGTAGCTTGAGGCGTCGGAGGCGAAGCTTTTGAGCCCAGGACCTAAATTTTCTGAATCGGCAGTGGGTGTAAGCTGCCCCTTTAGCTTCATGGGGGGGAGGGGGGGAGGGGGGGACTACAAACAAGAGAGAGAGAGAGAGCAGAAAAACGCGCCAAGGCGTGCGCTTCTTCTCGAAGTGGCACAAGTTTGTGTGACACGTGCCTAGTCCCTACGCTGTGATTGATGCTCTTCTTAGTCAAGCGGTTGTGGCGGTTCACGCGTGCCACATGCATCAGTTGTTCAAAGGAGCTCCGTACAATAATTGTCGCCTGCTTGCTCATTCAAGTAGAGGCGTTGCCCTGAGCAGAATTCCAAGAAACCCAGAAATGTCAATCGATATATCTGCGAAAGTGGGTCCAAGTGTTCGAATCCACTCTTTAAGCATCCAAACCAGCGCAGCCCAAACTGCAACCGGTACGCTTCAACGCAGCGCACTCCAGTTAACATTCGCGGCGACTCAAAATTACACATGTGGGTGTGGCTCAAATTACAGGGTTATGCAGGTTTTAGTCGTTGGTTCCATCTGCCAAGGTGCCCTGTTCGTACTTGTGTTTGAGCCACAGCCATGTCATGTGATTTGAGTTGATTGACAGTAGCTTTCACGTTGTATCATGACTCTCCCTGGCACCGTACGATTGCGTTCTGGAGCGTTCTGGTTTGTGTGCTGTCACATTTAAAAATATAAGCAAAGAAGGGGAAGTGTGATTTGCATTGTTGCCATCGTGAAAAATGCAAATTGAGCACTGTGTGTAGCTTCAAGGATTTTGCTTAGCTTATGCCAGCAGATCCAGATGGAAACGAGATTGAGTCAACATGCGTCGTGGAAAAATGCAAATTGGAGAGCTCACCCAAAAATGTATTCTAGCACTCTGCTCTTTGTTCTGCAATCCTGTGGTTGATGCACAAAACTCATCGATCCGAGACAGATCGCTGCCAGCGGACCCAAGCAACTTGCAGACGCTTCCCGAGCAACTTACAATTTGCATTTTGCGATGCCTGAAGAATGCAAATCAATCATCATACAAAAACTAGCGGTCTGGAATCATCGCGTTCTGCAAAAATACAGTAGCGTTCTGGAACCAAAAGCGTTCCGGAAAAACAAACGCTCTGGCACCACTAAGAAATCAAACAAACACACAGCCAAGCTGGGCTCCAACGGAAGAAAAAACCTAGAGAGTCATACGCAAGGCTTCGTGCAACTCTGATCGCCTCCTTTCGCCTTGGTCACAGTTTCAGGGTTGACAAGAATAGCAATGACCGCTGAGTGTGTGATAGCTTCGAATGCTGTCAGTTCAAAAAAGGCAAGGAAACCGGCAGCTTGTGATCGTGCAACCGTGCGGAAGCGAGCATCCGCTGTCGCGCGACATCCTTTGTGCTGCCTTTCAAGCCCCTAGTTGACCATAAATAACACTGCGGGCCGAAGCAGCCAGCTGCTGCACCTCCTTTTGTTTATGCACGGCAACAAAAGGCCTGAGGTTTGCATCTGCCATGTATCGCTGTATCGACGTTGTTGTTGAAAGCCAGCATTTGCGCGCATACCAAGAATCTCCGCAAACAGAAGCTCCAATTTTGTTGAAGGAGCTTTGCAAAAAGTGCAGAACACCTCAAGCGCATTCCCTGGTCTGTTCTTGAGAGTACCTTCAGCTGGCTTTTAAAGGGAAGACCTCATAAACACCATTCTGGAAGATCGGTTCCCTCTGTTTTGAGACGCGCAACGCAGCCCTCTCTCGAGCGCCTGACGGTCCTTGAGAAGGTCCGCGAGAGCCTGCCATGCGAAGGAATGAAACAAACACAACGAAGCAGGTGAGCCAAAAAGACGGACTAAGAAAGGGATTGACATGAGCCAGAGAGAATATTCAGGATTGGGCAGCTGACGATAATTGGGCTCTGGTTTATGTGAAGCAAAGATGCATACATGCGAGTTGACATAAGGGATTCAGGCTACTATGAAGGGGAATCAAGTGACCAGGAATAACTTGCAGAGGCAAATGAGTAAGTACACTTTACAAGGGAAAGAGAAGAGACGTCACAGCATCACAGCACAGCAGGAATAAGTGATTTCAGTTGATAGATTCTACCCCTGAGGAGTTGACACAAATACACAGAAAGGAACGTGCCAGAATCACATCTGGTAGAGACATGGATAAAGCCAACGGCATTCCTTTAAAGGTTTGTCTGCTATCAGGACAAAGGATTCATGACCCCGTAATCCCTGATTAGCCATGTCGTGCTGGGCGCATAGCCATCGGGAATGGGGAGGTATGCCAGAGAAAATGCCAAAGCTTGAAGCCGACCTGTTGAAAGGAAAGAAGGTAGGGTAGTAGGGCCAGTAGGGAATATAGAAACATTATAGCGCTGAGGAAACGGTAGTTGGTGGAACAAATACTGCGCAGCGCACCCCAATACAAACTAATGTACACCGATTCCCGGCCAATACTGTAGCACTGCAAGACTGCTTGGGCAGGCCAATTCGGATCCCGAATTGCTTAGATGTATTTGGTGTTGATTGTCTTTTCTAACTTGTTTGGGGCCCTCTATTTGATCACCACCACAAAAACAGAACACGGAGAATGAGAAATGTGAGAAAACTGCAGCAA